GACCATGTGTACCTTTAAGGGCAGATGTGAGGGTGGGCACTTCAGACAGAGCATGGGGAGAACATTACATGGAAGTGGAAAAGTACAGAAGTGTGAGTGCATTGTGGCTGGATGAAGGGAGTAGTTGGCTGAAGGAATAATATTAGAAAAGGTAAACTGGAGACAAAGTGTGGGAGATTCAGACTGCCTGCACTGTTGGGATTTTATTCCAATGGGGCGCCATTGAAAGTTTTTTTTGTTTTTTTTTTTGTCTTGTTTTGTTTTTGCAGAGGAGGAAATGATTTGGACATTATAAAAATAACACCATTCCAATATCACCATCATCATGATGGGTAATGTGAAATAATCAGATTTGCTTTGTTTTAAGTTTCTTCAAGTCACTTGAATGTATTGCTGTGACCTTCATATAATTTTCCATGTGAATTATCACTTACTGGAAGCATATATATATATATATATAAAAAAAAGGTAGGTAAGTAGGGAAAATGGAATATCTGATGATGATTATGGCTCTAATCTCAATCTAAATAAGACTAAAGTGACTAACACTCCTCGCAGGAGGAGGGAAGCAGAGGGGAGCCACAGAATAAGCAGGGAGAGAGAACAGAGAGCTGTGGGGGTGGCAGTGAGGAAAACTGAGCTGTAGAACACATTTTTTTTTTTTTATGCTGTAGAAGCCTTGTTCTCTGTGAAGGGCTACTTGGACGCTGTCTGTCCTGACGGAATCACCAGCAGGAGATAACTTCTTTTCTCAAGAAAACACACAATGGCGGAGGATGAAGAGGGTAAAGGGGCCACAAATGTGGTGATGGAAATAGAAATGATGTATCACAGAACTATAAACTTGGACCAACGTCACCCCAATACATTTAACTTAATAATAAAAAAATGAAAACACACCTTGAAGCAGAATGACTGCCCTTTTTCAGAGCTTTTCTTCCACGAGCTTCAGTGTCTAAACCCATCCCTGTCCACAGATCCCGTGTCCCACACATGACATGCACTGCTCTGGGTGCTCCTCAGACTGCAATACTTTCAAGCTCTAGGTTCTGGCCCTGCTCAGTCACCTACTAGCCCTGTCTCTTTATCTCTCTGACCCCTTTCCCCAAAAGAACTTCGCTGGGTGGTTCCTAATATCCCTTCAAGATCTAAAATGCTATGACTTTTTAATACATATAGGAGCATGGATTCCAGCCTTTTGGGAAAGGGTGGGAGAAGTTACTTTGTGCTTTTAGAGACAGATATTAAAACTGCTCCTGTCACTCTGCTAACCAAAGCGGACAATTTCTCTTTAGTTACTTCACAGGGAGAATTGATGGTGTTTGTTGAAGTGTCAAAACCTCACTCATGTTTACTGCAGGTGAGTGAGATCTTTTTCATGTTCATTTAGACATGAAAACTTCCTTTAATAAAGTAATGCATAAAATAAAATAAGAAGATGCTATGGTCTGAATACCATATCTGTTTTTGGAAAAAGAATGAAAATCAGAAAAAGCAATATGCAGAAATGTCATCATTTCCCTCCTCCCCCCAGGAAAGAAATCTGGTCTCTATTTTGAGCCAAGTATTTGAAGATGGTCTAGTTAGAAGTATAGTCCAACAAGTTTATAATAGGAGAAAAAGATTCAGAGAAAGGACAACCCCTAAAAGGGTTGGGCACTAAAAGTAAAGTCTTCTTGACTTTTGAAAAGAACTAAGAATAATTATTTTGATGATGGAAGACACTGATTTCTAATGAATGCATGTCAATTTATTTCCCATTTTAGAGATAGTGATATAAAATTTATTGCATTATTACGGAAAAATGATTTTATTTTTCTCCTATTTTGACAATGTAATTGCACTCTTACTCTTCAATAGAGTCGTGTTTTTTGTATTGTTTTGTTTTGTTTTTTGTGTGTTTCTAAATGCATTTAAACTTAATCCAATAGGTTCCTCTTCCTCAGTTCAATTTTAATGGATGAGAAATGTTACCTCTGGTAATTATCTCTAGCTTGCTGGGAAAGTATCAGGCTGACCTAATTATATAATTTCACCCTTACCCTCATAGTTCAAGAGGGCAGGAAAGCCAAGGTATGTCTGAGTGCTGTGCAACTGTCAGCAAGGATTAAAGGGAGTGACTCATTCTTCCTTCACACTTTACCCACTGCTATTTCCCTGGCAGCTGATCTTTTCAGAAAACGGAGAGGAAATATAGGAGAGAGAAGAGAGGAGAGAAGAGGGGAGGAGGGAAACTTTAGCCCCATATATTTTACATCACTTGATATTACACTGTCATAATGTTCCTTTTCCTGCTGCCCTTGATATTTTCTATCAAAAAGATTGATTCAGTTAAATGACTAAAAAGGTTATAAAAATATCTCTAAAAGATTCAGGATATAAACTAATACTAGAAGATTAGAATAATATTTAGGAACAAGAATATCACATGTGGGGCAGGAGCTTTATAACCATCTCATGGTGAATGAATGGACAAGAAAGTGAATTAACGAGCAGTGATTCCTAAGTCAAATATATGACTGTTGAGCTAACACAGTTGTTTTATAGAATATCAGGTTCATCTTATTAAAAATACTCCTAAAATATATAATATAGTTCCTAACATAAACACCATACCTATACAATCTTGAGAAAAGAGTTATCTAAAGTCATTCATAAGGGCTTGATAAACACAAAGGGTATTCATAATTGCTACCTTTTCTAACTCATCTCACAGACTTGTCGAATGATAGAGCTGGGAGGGGCCTTTCTGATCACTTCATCACCTATTCGGTCTCCTCATTTCACAGTTGAGTAAACAGGCCCAGAAAGGTTACGTGATTTGTCTCAACACACAGTTAAGAAATGACTGAGCTAGAATCAGAACCTGGGTCTTTTGGCTTCTAATCCAGGGTTCTTCCTACTGCACTATACCACAATTTACCAAAAAAACTTCCCCCAGTTATTTGGGGACCCTGAAGCTCTGCAGTTATTACACCTCAGTGCAAATCAAGAGTTAACACTACGGGGTTTCCTGATTCCACAAAGAGAGAATGTGATGGGTTCAGAAGATGAAAGAAATCAAGCTACAAGATCAGCATCTCTCATGAGTGTGGAAATGGAGGCATGGAAATCCTCTGGTCACAATGGTAACAAACAAATGGAACATCAATCCCTGATGCAATGAGTGAAATGGCATGGACCTGGACATATGAAACGTGGGTTTCTGTTGGTTTGTTTGTGTTAATCCTCACCCAAGATATTTTTCAATTGATTTCAAGAGAGAGTGGAAATGAGGGGGAGAGAGAAACATCTATGTGAGAGAGACACATCGATTGGTTGTCTCACACACAAGCCCCAACCAGGGGCAGGGTTTGAAACTACAACCAAAGTACATGCCTTGACTGAAATTGAACCAGTGACTCTTCAATCTGAGGGCTGATGCTCTAGCCACTGAGCAAAACTGACCAGGGTGAAACGTGTTTTTAATCCATGAAAATACCAAAGCAACTTTTATTATATTAGGTAGGACTGCAGCTCAACAGTAGGTGTAGTTATAAGAACTAGATATCTTCTCTCTTATTTTAGTTCTCTTAGACCAAAATGTATTGATCATAACTGAATTTAAATTAAGGCACTTTAAATTTTTTTCTTGCCCATTTCCCCCCATGAACCTCCCCACATCAGCTAGAGTCAAAACTTTCCCCAAATTAAATTATGCTCATGTTATAGCATAACAATCAAAGCTTTTTTTCTGTACTACAGTCAGAACTTCTTCAAAGCTCAAGAGAGATATGAGCAATGTCTTAAAATAATATCTTGGCATCACAGTTGGTCCACTGTGCCATATGAAAGTCACTGACTTCTTTCAGCAAAGAGAAGGAAGATGGTAAGGAGGAAGAGGGTCTCTCTGAGCTAAAATGCAAAAACTATAGTCTGACAAGATTTATTCTTAAAGTGACTAAAAGGGTATAAATACTTTTCAGCTAAACAAAATAAGTAAGAATAAATATCAATGGGTTCTTTCATTACATCTTTATAATTCACATAAAATGTCAGCCTGTAAGAAATTATCTAGACCAGAATAAATTAACCAGATTTAAAAAACAGATAGGCACTTAATATCTGTAAAAGCTATCGAAAAGAATAAACACAAAAGAACTGTAATAAGAAATCAACAGCAACAGCAGCTTTGGGAAAATAGACTGACAGATTTCTAAAATATCACTGGCATTGAGGGAGGTCTATTTTCATGTGATAACTATTTTTGTTCAATAGCACTTTCAATTTATAGCAAAACTGATACATTTAATTCAGCTGTCTGCTTCACAAATATAAATCTATTTTAAATATCATGGTCATGTTTATGTAAGCATCTGGGAGAGTTCAGCAAAATATCTCTGCCCTTCAGCAGTCCTAATACTTTAATGGACATAATTATTTCTTAGTCATCTCCTTAAGTTGTATTTTTTGACAATGTGAAAACCAATGGCATAAAATTAACTCCAGTCAGATAAATGACTAAATTAAATCTTATTATTTAAATCTATGTTTTCCCAAACTCTTTCTCTTAAAGCCAATTATGAATCAAATTCAAGAAAGTATGGCAATACATTTTAGAGCATGAAAAAAAGTTTGAGCATGATAACGGAACCAACTTGTAAAATATAATTACAAAAGATTACAAAAATGTTATCTTGAACATCTTACTTGCACAAACTCATGCAACATATGTCATTCAGAATAAAGAGGAAGGAACAGCATTTTAAACACCAGCTCCATTTAGGAAATTGGATACCAAATACTCCCATCTTCAGTTGTGAAGATTCTTTAGTTAAGATATTTTATTCTATTTGCTCTAGTTCTCAAAATGAATCACAAAGAATAAACGCGAACAATGGAAAACCAATAACCTTATTTTAACTGAAATTAAGTTAGGAAGGGCCAGTGTAAGAAGCATCCTATGATATCTTATTCAAACTATCTGCTAACAACAGCAGGAAAAGGGGTTGCATTCTTACCAATGAATTTCTGAGGCATTGAGCTTTTTCGTTTTGCCACATTGCTTGCTAATCTGTCCAGAACCAGGGCTCTTTCACTTCCCATCTCTGCCTTGATGTGTCTTGCCTCCGTACTTGCTGGTTTGGGAAAATGTAAAAAGAAGAGGGGGGAAAATTGGTAAATGGGGAAGAACAACAAATAAACTGGAAGAAAAAATGTCAGATATCTGGTACATAATCTTTTGTTACCGGTTATTACTGCTCAGATTCTTGCCTGGGAGACCTGCTGTGGTCAGGGAAGACAGCAACAGGGCACATTCAAATCTTGCAGTCCTTATGTTGAGATGGAAAAGCCCAGCCCATCCCCAAACAGTACCTTCATTAGCAAGAGGAAGTATTAAATAAACAGAATGGACGTGGTTGGTTGCAAAAAGATAGAGAGATCTGGTAACCTCCGATCAGCCTTCTTTCTGATTCTGAGTAACTGCGTGTGACACCTGCAGACTGATATAATTCTTCTTAACAACTTCGAGGGGGGAAAAAGTATGGTGCCCCAGATTTACTGCTCTGTTTATGTTAATAGCACTTTTGAAAATAGATACTCTTACCCAGACAGCAAGAAATCTACTCAGTGATTTGTGTATTGAAATTCTGAGTGTTTTTTTTTTCTTTCTTTCTTTCTTTTCTCCCCCCTCCTCCCCCCCAGCATGCTTCTTTCAGTTCCTATCTTTTAAAATTCTATTTCTCTGGGCTCTGCATTATCTGTTTCATATGTTCTTCACATTAAAAAATGGTCTCAGTTAAAATTTCCCTGAGCAACACTTCTGTCTTGAAATTAAAGAGCAATTTGTATAATGCGTCTTTATTACATTTCTAATGAAAAATGTGAGTAAAAATTGCCTAAGAAAGTGATCTAATTGTTAATCCACAAACAGGCCTTCCAGTGGTGTAGGCCTGTGGTTCCCAGATGTGCCGCTGGTTAAGAGCATGGAAGACACACCTATGCCCAGGCCCCACTTTCAGATCAATTAAATCAGGATCTCTGGTGTAAGGGCCTAGGCAACAGATTTGTGAAGGTCTCCAAATTATTTTGAAATGCAGCCAGAATTGAGAACCACCAGAAGAACATCTAGTCCACTGAGCAGTTAGTGGGACTAAAGAAGGATAGTTTACCCTTATTCAGCAGGCAGTCCCCTAGAAGAGTTCATGCTTAAAGTTCAGAGATACAAGTTGCTCTAAATACAGAGCTTTCAACTTTAACACACGATGCTAACCCAAGCTAGAGACCAGCACACTTTTTTTGTAAAGGGCCAGATAGTAAATACAATATTTTAAACTTTAATGGGACATATATTGTCTGTGTTCCATAGTCTTTGTGGTTTTTAAACTCAACCCACTGCCCTTTAAAAATGTAAAAACCTCAACACAAGGGCTGCTGGCTACCTTTGGTCTGAAGGTCACCGTTCGCTCACTCCTGCCTTAAGCAAATACATTGTGATACTAAAAACGTTTCTCTCTGTTTCATTGTAAGCATTTCAGGAGCTCCTAATGAAAATGAAGGATCCATACATTTCTAATGTCTTTAAGGAAAAAGAATTGGTTTTAGTTACATGATGAGAGTAAAAAGCAAGTGATGATTGCAGAATAGATCCATCTCCCCACCCGCACCCTCCCCCCAATTATATACATAGACTTAGGAATTGACAGTGCTTGTTTTGAAGTTGAGGAGTTTGTTGTGTGAAGAGTTTTTAATATATGGAAATAATGTCACCAATTCTATGATCTCTCAGTGCCCCAAATGGACATGCCCAGAGAGAACACTGGCCACCTCTGCAGGAAATGAGACAAAGAAAGGCTTCCAGGGCAAGACTATCAAGCATGGTCAGGGCAAAAGAATGAAAACTAAAAGAGAAAAAGAGAAGTCAAAGTATTAAATATTTTTTATTTTTTTATTTGCATGTTTTTTATTTTTTTTAATAAACAAAACACTACACCGATCATTACACAATAATTGTAATAAACTCGGGATTTTAAAAAATCAGAAATAAAATGAAATCTGGCTCTAGAAATGATTAAGATGATAATCATCATCATACTTACTATACTTTGTGAGTTTCTTTTAAAAAATGATTCTAGGTTCTAAAGAAATAAACCCCACCCTCCGGTTTAATCTCTTAACAATACTATTTGTGTAATGTAAGGTCAGAGTAAGAGGCTTGCAGCTTTGGGGCTAGTGGTGCAGTACTGCAGCTCTGACTGACAGCCACTGTAAACAACTGGCACTTCAGTGACAGGACCCTGCTACTGAGTGAAGTGTATCAAATTCTGTCCAGCACAGGAATAAGTTGAAATGACCAAACAGGAAACTATTATATATATATGATTTCCTTTCACACAAACCACCACCAGATGTGGTAGTACCCGGCTCCCCAGAGCAGAGAGATGAAAGACAAAGGCCTGGAATTTGAAAGAAGCTCCTGAGGCTGTTAGAAGGAGGCTTTTCCTCAGAAGCATTGAGAGGCAGTTTGTGCTTTGACTTTCTGATTTGAGCACCTTTGAGAGGATTAAATCCCCACACCCTGTATTTATTATAAACAAGATTTAAAGTGAAATCAGAATGAAGAACAGTACTTTGGGAATTTTTACCTTTATCCCCATTTGCCACTATTCTTATTAGTCTCTTCAGTCACTACTCGAATGGCCCTGTCATGACCCAGAGGTATGGCCGTTTAGTCCCAGGACTTTCCCCAGGCATTCTGCTGCCAGTCTAGTTTTCTCTCTTATCTCTCAGTAGCCACCGTCTACATTTTGCAAAAGTCACTATCAGTTACCACAGCAGTTGTCTGAGGACACGTACTCAATATCCTCTATATATTTGGGAGGATGCCGAAGTGGGGATACATTGACCTAAATAATGTAATTAGGGCATGTCACTAAATGGCAGCCCTCCGAGATAACATCACCTTTTCATCCCTGGTTACTCACCAAGCTTGTCTTGACAGTTATTTCTAGATAAATTTTACCCCATAAATCAGTGACCAAATGAGTCACATTTAAAACACAAAATTCTGGAGGTTATGGATAGACAGATAATTTGAGGCATAGGTGGAGACTTTCCCGTTTCCATACTTCTGGTTAGATTGAAAGAAATCCTCTGAAACTAAACCAGAGGGCTTCATCCACCCACACTCTCACTCAAAATATCAACTCCATGAGTCCAACTCTCACTGTATGTGTGAATACACTCTAAAGATTACGTTAATCTTTATTGAATTAACTACTTTCTAATTGGCAAGTTAGGCAAAGGCTAACCTTTCAATTGAATATACTGCACTCTCATTTTCTTTCCCAAACTGCCTTGCCATTCTTGGCCAGCTGCTGTGCAACACCACTAAGTGAGTGCCTTTTAAAACACAAAGAAATGCTTTGGATTTGGACAATATTTTGTGTATTACGAAGAGTGTAGTTAATACACAAAAAAGAAAGGAAAAGAAGACTATTGGCTTTTGGTCCTCTGCTTCAACTTTAAGACCCAACTGTCTACTTATACAAACAGTCTAGACTTGTTATCTTGCTGCATCATGTCTCAGAAATGTAAGTGGAGGGAAACGAGTTTGGCAAGATAGTAAGGGAACAAGATAATGGGCTTAAATGATGAAAAAGGAAATCCGTTCCTGGGTGGTGTTTGGCAGTTTAATGTTGCAAAGGTAGGTGTGGGGATATGGGATTGTGGCAAGGAACTACTTGCACACTTGGCTCATGAGAGAGCACAAGAGTAGAACTGTAATTCTGGATCAATTCCCCTTTATGTCACTTGTCTAGTACATAGTAAATACACAATTTTCATTAGAAAAATGATTTTAAAGACATGCTGAAAACAATAAATAATGAAATGAATATATATATATTATTGATTTTATACAGAGAGGAAGAGAGAGGGATAGAGAGTTAGAAACATTGATGAGAGATGAACATCGATCGGCTGCCTCTTGCACACCCCTGCAACCAAGGTACATGCCCTTGACCGGAGTCGAACCCGGGACCTTTCAGTCCACAGTCCGACGCTCTACCACTGAGCCAAACCGGTTTCGGTGAATATGAAGTCTTAATTACAGAATAGATTACTACTTTTATTTCTGTGCAAGTCTGAAATAGTTTGTCTGGTTTTTGCTAACTGTTCCCATGATGCCATTTCTCTCTGAGAGTGTCTGCAGATTTAAGTATGTAATTTGTTGTACTTTTGTTTTTGTTCAAAATCCTTCATTATATCTTGAAGTGTTAAATAGAGCTCAAGTAATAGGCATGCTTTCTGCCTCTTCTATGGTGTCAGTAGCTAATGGAGAGTGGAACAAAGGGGTGTTATTGTGCAATCAGAATTGTCTAACAAGAGATTGCTATCAAAGACCAAGGCAGGTTCTAACAAAAATGTTACATAAAATTACTGCCATTTTTAACAAGCAGAATGAATATTACCTGTAAGATAGTATCAATTAATATATATATATATATATATATATATATATATATATATATATATGTGTGTGTATATATATACACACACACACACACACACACATATATATATTATTGACTTTTCACAGAGAGGAAGGAAGAGGGACAGACAGAAACATCGATGAGAGAGAAACATCAGCTGCATCCTGCACACTCTCCACTTGGGATGTGTCCGCAACCAAGGTACATGCCCTTGACCGGAATTGAACCTGGGACCTTTGAGTCCACAGGCCGATGCTCTATCCACTGAGTCAAACTGGTTAGAATAGATAGTATCAATTTTAAAAAATATATTTTTATTGATTCAGAGATGAAAAGACAGAGAGAGAGAGACATCAATGATGAGAGAGAATCTTTGGCTGCCTCCTGCACACCCCCCACTGGGGATCGGGCCCACAATCCAGGCATGTGTCCTCACCAGAATCGAACCATGATCTCCTGGTTCATAGGTTGATGCTTGACACTGACCCATGCCAGCCAGGCGATAGTATCAATTTTTAAGCAAAATAATCAATTAGAAAAATGGACTTTTAAAACGTTTTAAAATTTTTCTTTGGTCTGTTACTTGACAAGTTTATTCATAAACTCTCATGCTTCTATTAGCACAAGTGAAAGAATGAAAATAAAGATAAAAGGTTTTGACTACTAGATTCTAAAATAAATATAATTATCTAATTACTTTTAAAAATCTTCTAATTGCTAGAACTTGTCATACAAAAATGTGTCCTGGTCCAAGAATGCATAATTTGTGTGAAATGAGGCTCAATGAATCTCTATATAAACTGTTAGTTCCTATCTGGAATAAGGATCAAACTAATGAGAAAATGAAATCTGTGGGCTTCCCTGTTCATTCTTCTTTTCATATACACTGCATTAAGACAGCAGAATCGGAGTATCTTGATCATGCCACTTGTGACATCTGGTGAAGAAATGTGGACTTAAGTACAATATCACACATATCTCTGTAAGACCTCTGTATTATGTCAGTAAATAAGTGCCCATTCCCTTGTTGGATTTTCTTTACAAATAGCTCTGGCACAGAGCCTGACACAGAGAGAATACAACAAATGCTACCAGAATAAGAGAAAAATGATCATTAAGGTCAGAAGTCCTGTTGTTCAAGGCGGCTTTCTTTTGCAGACTAGACTGCAGGCCAAAGCCTTTTTATCGCTCTGCTTCCCTAAGGGTCTGCTTCCTGATGAGGCAGGCTGATGCCAAGGCTTGGCTCTCACACTAGGCTCTTCAATTTACAACAAGCACTTGATGAGTAAGTGCCGCATCCACAGTAGCTATGGAGCATCATCACATTAAAAGCTAGGAATGAAGAGGTAAGGTATGCCATTGGTGATACCCTAATCATCAGGCTCAGGATGGAACACTATGTCAACACTGGGATTCCCAATTTTAAGAAGGAAACCATATAGACTTTAATGATTGCCACTGCTTTCTATATGGTTTCCTTCTTAAAATTTTTGGACTTCAGGAAAAATCATGGGAACTATTTGAAATAGAAGAGAGAATAATATATTGACTGATATGAAGTATTTATTATACTTGATTAAACTGTGGCTTTATACATTCTGTAATCTGAAATCACCATTACAACATATTTGTTTTATTTAAATCAAAACTTGCTGACTTAGTTAACCCTTTATTTTTTATTTTTTGCTGAGACTTAAAGTATGCTGCACGCATCCATTAAACCACCCTATGAAATGCAAATTAACCTCTGTATTTTAGCATTTCCTGAATCACCTTTTTCCACTAAAGATAACTAAAATACTTCTCTTAATAATTCCTAATTTGAAATTCCTAAAAAAAGATTATGGATGGGAAGTAAAGTGGTAACCTAATTTCAAAATCAATAATTTTGAGCTTATTGTTCATAGAGGGTAGGATACTGATTTTCCCCCTATTCCAGAGAATCAAGACACACATGTATACATTTGTATTTGTGTTACTATATTTCTTTTGCTAATCAGATCTACCCAATAAAAGAGTAACATGCTAATTCATTTTACCTTCGTGATGCCACCAGCCAATCAAGAGTGAGTATGCAAATTAACCCAACAAAGATGGTGGGTTAATTTGCATACACAGGTGCCAAGGCCCTGGAGCTTGAGTTTGAAGACGTAGGATTAGATGTTCTCTTTAATTTTTCTAGCTTTAAATATTATGCTTTATTTGGAATATGATAGATTTTCATAATTTGGGGATTTCTTACAGTAAGAGCTTTGTCTATAGTATGAAGTATAAAACTACAAGTAAAGATGCCTAGGTATTGCCTGACTAACCTTAAGAATGTTGCTTAAGATGTCAAAACAGACGTTTTGGAAAGGTTTCTTTTAAAGAGAGTAAATATTTCTCTTTAGAAATAAAGAGGAAATCCATCTCCTTGATAAAGCCAAAGATGCCATCAGGATAAAAAGCAGAAGTAGAATTCAGTTGGCCAGCTCCGAACACCATAAAATAGGCTTTATCTATAACAAAAGTTCCTCTCTCTCAAAACAGGTGCAATTAAACTCATGATTTCCTGAGTTTCACATTATTTCTATCATCTTTTTGTAATCTTTCCTGAGTTTCACATTATTTCTATCATCTTTTTGTAATCTTTCTGCTTTAGTATGTTTAAACTATTCAACTGCAACTATTACTGTCAAACATCAAATCTCATGAGGATTAGTTCCTAAGCAAGTACTTCAAGTGACCAAATAAAAGTGCCAGACAACCCAAGATACAGAACCAGGATGATGGTCAGTGGGATAGGACAAAGGACAGCTGCAGAGATGCAACACAAAAAAGTTTCAGGCTGTTTCGACTGAAGAATGAAAATCAAATAAAACCACAATTTATACATGGAAAGAATTTAATGTTTCAACCAATCACCACGGGGCATAAAATTCAAAACACTGGCTACAATGTAAATAGAGAAGTATTTGACGTTGGAGCCTTGTGCAAAGAAAATCCATGCAGTTTTAATCAACTCTATCCTAGTCACCCTTCAGGCTGTTCCACTGTCAGTCTTTGCTATTTCAGTTCATGGCAACTGCATTCTTCATCACATCCCTCATCAATCTGTTACGAAATCCTGTTGGTGCTACCTTTAAATACTGTATTTTCCGGCGTATAAGACGACTTTTGAAACGAAAAAAAGCCAACCGAAAATCGGGGGCAAAAGACCAAAATTGCACAAAAATTACCTGCAGATCTTGACGGCAAAGTAAGTCTTTTCTTTGAAGTGGGGGGGTAGTCTTATACAGCGAATATAGGCCTAAACCTATGTTTTAACTGTAAAATTAGGGGGTTGTCTTATACGCAAGAAAATACACTATATATATAATTAGAATATTTCTCACTGCTCCTACCACAACCAAGACACAATTTTCTCTTTCTTGAGTGACTGCAATGGCCTCCTAACCAAACTCTCCAAATTCCAATCTTGCCCCAAATACAATCTATCCTCAATAGCAAAGAGAGTGATTATTTTCAAAGGAAAAAGCCCAATCATGTCACCTCTGTTCAAAACCCTTTAAAGATTTTCTATTTCATTAGAGTAAAAGTTGAAGTTTTTACAATGGCCTACAAGGTCTGATAAGATCTGGTTTCCCATTTCCTCTCTGGCCTTCTGGCCTATTACTCCAACTACACAGGACTATTTATACTTCTTCAAACTCAAGCTCCAGGGCCTTTGCACTTGCTATATCCTAGTTATCAGCAGGGCAGTCCTCTGTCCACATCTCTTTAAGTTTGTTAAATGTCTCCTGGTTGAAGCCTTCACTGACTTCCCTCAGTCCCCATTTTTTCTTTTATTTCTTATTAAATCTGTTAACATTGGCTAATAGCATTCTATAAATTTCAGGTGTACAACTTTATAATGTAATATCTGTAAGCTCTATTGTGTACTCACCACCCTAAGCCTAGTCTCCTTCCATCGCCATGTATTTGATCCTCTTTACCCTCTTTGTCTTCACCCAACCCATCATTTTTCTTGACACTACTTACCACCTCCTAATATACTGTACACATTACTTATCTATTGTACTTTATGTTCTATCTTTCCCCATGAAAATATGAGCTCCATAAGTGCATGATTTTTTTTTGGTCTTTTTATTTACTATTGTATCCCACCATCCAGAACAGGAGATGCTGTGTAGAATGAGTGTTGCATGAACTCACCGGTTTCACCAAGGTCACTGCTCTGAAGAAATGTACGGCAGCGCTCCTTGTGCTCCTCAAGGGAACTTCTCTGCTTGTAACTCCTTCCGCAAAACTCACATTTATAGGGTTTCTCAACTATAAGGAGAGCACAGGGGGCACTCAGTGACCCTCGGGGTTTCAGAACAAATGGTGTATCGGAGTTCTACGAAAACTGCTCACTAGGAATGAAACTTCTGAGGGCAGCCAGAGAATTTGGATACTTTTGCAATTGCATTATTTTTAAATTTAATAAACTGAAGTTTGGTTATGGTCTATGATGAATTATGATGTATTCTTTGAAAGGACAGTCTCCTTTCACAAATAAAAAATTTTGGATTTAATGATTATCATTGAAAATAGTGGTTTGGCTCCAGATCCAATCTTGCTTCTTTAGAGAATAATATGGGGCCTTTTTTTTTTTCTCTTCAAGGAGGTTAGTGTGGTTTAAGAGAGAAATAGGAAGGGATCACTTATTTTGTGATGTCCATCTGGTTGTAAGTAAAAATGCTCTGTGTTGTGGGAGTTAGCCATTCAGCTAGAAATTGATGGCCTTAGAGCGTTGACATATTTAGATAAATTTAGCTCATCGTTGCCAAGTGGATATAAAGTCTGCTAAATTTATAAAAACTGAGCAATGAACTAAGGATAATTTTGAATAACAAAATAAGGATGAATTGCAAAAATGACTTCATCTTAATTTTTAAGATGAAATAAAGGTTTCCTCAAAAGTTCATCCATACAATTCAGGCCATTTATCATCCCAACTCTTTCAAATGCTTTATTGCTTAAAATATGTAAAAACTAACTTCAATTCTGTGTGCAGGGCTGGCCTTTCTGGTTTGTTGATAAAATGTACCCCATAAATTTGTCAGTTTTATAAACTGAGATTTTTATTTTCTAGTCCTCTTTCTCTGTCTAAAACAGAGCCTTTGGGACTTAACGCACTAAAAGATGCTTGTGGAATCCCAAATTAAAATAAATGTCGGTTTGCTAGGGCTAAGAATGTTAAGTTTCTGTATAAATTGGTGTCTTCTAAAGTCTGTCTGAAAAATGACTACTACTGTTAGATCTTAGTTGAAAAAAAAAAAGCAACAGAAGAGAACTATTCTAATTTTTTGAACCAAACTCAGCCCTAATTCATATTTTTGAACACTAAGCTGTAAACCCTTATTTTGCTACTTATATCTGACGGTGGGTTTTGTTGGGCTGATTTGATTATTCCTTGGTCTCTGAATTGTGATCATTTGAGGATTTGGGGCTGAGTTTTAGTCAAAGCTGTGTGTGGATTGACATAAAAACAAACTTTTTTTTCTTCTTCTTCATATAAAATGTAATCAGATAACATCAAGAACATAAGGTCCCAAATTTGAAAAATAAAGTCAGTTTTATTTTTCTAGGAGGGAAAGTCTAAATGATGAAAACAAATTCATCATCGTGCTTGGTTAAAATAAGAAGTGAAAAACAAGATAGAACATTGTTTTCATTGAATTCGTATTGCTGCTCCTCTTTTAGAGATTAAAAATAATTAGGCTGGTAAAGAAGAAAGCTGAGTTTATCCCATGTACACTTAAAACTAATTTAGCCCATGTACACTTAAAACTAATACAATGATATATTATGTCAATTATATCTCAATTAAAAAGAAATTTAGCCAAGACTGGCCAAAAACCTTCAAGTTTAGCCCAGAGTAGCCGAAAGTAACCACCTACCAATGATTTATACCCAGTATACAGTTTTGCATAATTTACAAACTATACAACATTGGCTTGTCCAGACTTTGAATGAAAGGTGTGTGTGTTTTCAAGGAAAATAATATTTTAATAAAGTTCACCATAAGAAAACACTGATGGCTCTAATTTTTTTGGCAAAAAAAAAAAAAGTTATAAAGGCATTTTTATAGGGCAGGCTCTTCCTGCCTGTGTTGTTCTCTAGGGGAGCAAGGTTGGTAAGGAGATGATCATCCCCGTTGAGCCAGACGGAGAGCAATTAATGCCTTAATGGAAGTGTAATTAGCCCTAAAGGTCTCTGCTGTTGTAACCCTTCAACGGCAGTGACAGATGAAAACCTCCCCCTTAGCTCCTCCTAGGTCCTGCAGCGGGCGCGGAGAAACACTGCCCGCATGCTCTCACTTACCAGAGTGTGTTCTGAGATGGCCTGTGAGGGCATCTCTCCTCTGGCACGCGTAGTTGCAGAGGTGACACTTAAAAGGTTTTTCCCCCGTGTGCAGCTTAATGTGGCGGAGGAGGTTGCCTTTCTGAGTGAAAGATGCTCCACACTGATTACACTGGAATGGGCGTTCACCTTTAAAAAGGACAAAAAGGAAATTTCTGATCATTGGCAAATGGTGGGAAGCCTATGCACAGATTAGATGCTTATGGCAAAAGCTCACTTTTTAGACAGTCTGTTTTTATTGGGGTCAGCTCTGAGCTGCATTTCCAGGCAAACATAAGACTTCCCTCTAGAAGAGAAAAAGCACTCACCTTGCAAGGCTATTTTAGTTATCACCTTGTCTTGAATCAGAACAAAAAAACAGAAATAAGAGTAGCTCTAGAAGAGCTTTCTAGATGTAAATTTTTACATTACTTAGCATTCCTTTAAAATATAACCTCAACTTGAAAAAAAGAGCCACAGACTAGTTACTAAGGTAGAGAAATACTTCTTTTAAAAGTATTCATAACAACAACAAAAAAAGTATTCATAACAGGTAGAATCTATTGGGCTCAATGGATCTGTTATATTTGTATACATTTTTATAGACTATTGTCTGAAGATAAATTTTTTAAAACTGGTAATAAAAACTATATTCTTTCATCTACCAAATTTGAACCAAATATATGAGATCTGCTTTCCATAAAAGTTATGCAAAAATATAAGAAAGATGCTTAAGAAGTATACCACACAATTCAGTTCCTACTATGAACTGGAGAAAATGCTCCCTATACTCATTCTGTTATTCATAGCATTTGCAATGTTTGCCAAATGCACTGTGAAACGGAAATAAAAATTACTGGGTAAATGGAAATGCAGAGAGGGAGACATACATCAGAATTATAGCAAAAATCAATGAAAGTAATCAAAAGTTGTCCCACGTTCATTTCTCACATGGTTGCATTAGGACAGTTTTCAGAAGAACGGATAAAGGAGATTATTTACCAGTATGGCTCCGCTTATGAACCATTAAGACATTGAAACTAATGCAGGATAATCCACACACATCACAGTTCATCTTGCCACTTGTTGGCCTGCTATTATCATATGAGACAACATGTCTCTCCAACTTAATGTTTTCATATTCATTATACTCTCTGGAATAGCTGTAAGGAATTTCAGGCTCTTCTGCATTTCCCATGGGCTCTGGCTTCAAAACATTCTCATCCCTTTCACTATATTCATCTTTCACTTTCGTTGAATCGTCTGCGGGAAAATGCAAAAAATAAACAATGATTGTATTTGGATCTATCAAAGCAGTTCAGAGAGCAGACCCACAACTGACAAATACCAAATGAAGCAAATATAAAATTGTACATAATCAAAACAAGGAAACACCATTAAGATGATCACAAGTCATTGGAATTCAGAACCATAGTTAGGAAAACTTGCGCACGAGCACACACACACACACACACACACACACACACACACCAGCATTTTAGGCCATTCAGAAAATAAGATATAATAGATTTAGCTATGATTTCTAAAGCAACTATGAAAAAATCATTTTGAGCAACTCTTCTCCAGTACTGTGAAGAAGAAAAGTTTTCAGATCTAGTACCTTTTTTGGTGGCTTCAGTTAAAAGCTAAAATGATATGCTCTTTGGTTTCAAGAAGAAAATACTGTTTTAATTCTTCCAATGCATCCATTTTAAACCACTAAGATTGAAAGTTGAATAGTTACTACAGCTTTTCTAATTTTAAGCCATGCTTTGCCTCTTCCCTTTCCATGTAGATGAACTGCTAAAATGAGTCTTATCTATCTTGGAACTGATAAAGAGACAACATTGAAAGTAGAGGAAGCTGGCAGTACTAGTGAAATACTGTTGAGAAAGATAAAAGGAGAAGTAATTCTTTAACATAACCTTCTGAGGAGTCACTTTCATTGACATAACTAAATGGAGCCCAACCTAAGCAAGGGGAAAGGAATCTATATCAACTAAACTTAAGACTCAAGAATTGTAGGACTGGGTAGGGAAGAGGGTCTGGTCTAAGTAAGCTGGCTGACCAGGTACTATCTTTAAAAGAGTTGCGACATAACATAAGAAATGAACAAGGCAAATCTATGTACTGACACTAACCAAACCTAAATATTTGCCTGATGTGATGATAATAAACATTTGTAAGGGATTTTTCATATCTAAAACATGCTGCAAAAATGCTTACTTTTAAAAATATTTGTACTCTATTAGAAAGTTATACTTCTTCATGAGGAATCATAAATCAATGGAACTTTAAGGCTGGAAGGGAATTTGGAGATTATCTAAATTCCTTGTTTTTCATATAAGAAAATCTGGGAACAGAGATATTCTTGGTGATTTGTTTAAGGGTCAGTTTACAGAATTAGAATGCTGAACTTAGATTTGACCTCACACACTAGGCACATCAAGTCTAAGTAGCTCATTACTGACATATTCCACACTCCACACTCTCCCATCAATGGTGTAGATGTTAAAAACCAAAACACTCTGAAGAAAAGATATTTTAAAAAACTACATCCCTTCAAAAACACCAGTGAGCGCAGCTCCTGTTGCCACATAGGAGGAAGTAAACTGCAGCTGTGCCTGGCTTACTACCTTCAACCAAGTTTCAATTTTCACTTCTATCAAGCTTACCTTTCATCTATATTAACTGTGTCTGCTTAATAGAGCAAGACAGGGCCTAACCACCAACAGAGGAGCCATTGCTGCACACTGTTCCACCACTTCTCACCACGGTTCATGGTTCACAACCTCTCTCTTTGATTAAAAGAGATGTAGGACTGCAGGACAGGGCCAATATCTTTCAAATTTGCTCATCCCATGCATCTGGGTTATATATGAATTGATATCCATTTCCTAATGGAAAGAGTTCATTCCTTTCTTTCTCTAGATAGGTCTTGCCTACTTTCAGATGGAATTTGGTTGCTTAAGTGGTTTTTGTCTTTTTTTTTTTTTTTTTTTTTTTTTTTTTTTTTTTTTTTTTTTTAAAGAAGGATGCACCTGAGGTGTGTACTCTCCTCCCTTCCTCCATCACTCCAGCTGTGGGTGATATCCCACCAAAGCTTGAGTGCTCATCAGTTTGCATGTAGGCGTTAAAAAGAACCTCAACGGAAAACTTCAGCTACAGAAAAAAACACACAAACCAGCAGATAAAAAAGAGCCAGCAGAAAATAATCCTTTTAATTTGGGTTATAAATGTTAATATGAACAGACTAGCCAATTCCATGGTCAGTGACAATTAAAAACAAGTAAGATCAACATGTTGGATCTTTCTAAAAACACAGAACGAAAGAGAATTAGATGTTCTTTCCCTCAGGATTTTGGTTTCAATGAACTTAACTTAAAACTTAATGCTTGTCCTTTGGGATTTAGCTGTAGAACAAGTTTGAGAACAAGGACCCTAAGGGAAAATGGACAAGCATTTTTTAAATGGACTTACTGGACCAAAAGAGTTCTCGGTATAGATGTTGGTTTGTCTTTAAGGTCTTACCGTTATTTATTTATTTACTTACTTATTTATTTATTTATTTAGAGAGGGAAGGGGAGAGAGAAACATTGATGTTTGACTATATTCTGTGCAGTGAGAAAACCTGAAGTCATTTTCAAGGTCTACCATTCCTTACTTCTTTTCAGTTGAGTCAAGTTTCTAAGCTTTCTAAATCTCTGTTTTCTGCCTAATCAAAAGAAAATAGTATTCCACTGAGTCTCCTATCTACCTTCTCCAGGACTTCTGTGAGGATCAAATGAGATGAGGCACAGGAAAACACTTTACAGACATTTGGTTAAAATTGAAAATGTTTACACCTGGCTATAAAGCAAGTTGTGTTCCTGGGCTATAGAAACTCCAAGGAGGCTAGTTGCTAGGGATAGGAAGCTGGGAGCTGCTACATGATGTCATTATTCAGTGCCCACAGTGACCTTCAAGCTGGGCTGGGCTGTGGGCTGCATTTTGCACCATGGGGTCTCGGCAGAGTCAGCTGCAATTTGTTGGGCTGCCGCTCCAGGGTGGTGGCAGGGCCTGTGTTTTGTGGGCACCAGGTCTGTGTGTTTTGTGGGTGCCAGGTCTGTGGTGCCATTTCTCTGTAAATGGCCAGTGCATGTCATGGCAGCTCCTGTGTTGAACATCTGCCCTCTGGTAGTCAGTGCACGTCATAGCGACCAGATGGTTGGACACTTAGCATAACACACACACACACACACACACACACACATACTAGAGGCCCAGTATGTGAATTCATGCATAGGTTGGGTTCCTTTAGGTGGCCTGCAGGGATGGGGCTGAAACCCACAGCCCACAGATAATAATTTAATTTAAAAAAAAAATTAAAGAAAGAAAGAAACCCGTAGTCCAATGCTGCCTGCAGCTCCTACCTGCTGCTCCTGCTCATCCCAGCCTCACTGTGCCTACCTCGGGCTTGCACCCAATCAATTCTGCCACAGCAGCACCAACCACCCATGAGCCCTGCATCTGGCACCCTTCCAAGGGGAGTCGTCTGCAGAATTGGCTGAAATCAGCCCTCCAATATCCCCCAGAAGTCCCAGATTTTGAGAGGGTGCAGGCCAGGCTGAGGGACCCCACCAGTGCATGATCAGGCCAGGGAAGGACCACAGGAGGGCTCCAGGGCGAGTCCAGCCCATCTCATTCCGTCCGGATCAGCCAGACCCCAGCAGCAAGCTAACCTATGAATCGGGGCATCTGCCCCCTGGTGGTCAGTGCACATCATATCAAACAGTTGAGCAGCCTTAGCATATCATTAGCATGCTATGCCTTGATTGGTTGTTTGGTTGTCCTGCTGTTTGGCCTATTTGCATATTACCTTTTATTATATAGGACACACACACACACACACACACACACACACACACACATGTAAATGTCTAAAATGAAACTTGTCATCTTTGAACCCAAACCTGCTTCTAATGTATGGCTTTTTAAAAAATATATATATATATTTTTATTGATTTCAAAGAGGAAGGGATAGGGAAAGAGAGATAGAAACATCAATGATAAGAGAGAATCAATTCCAGCATTCCCTAAGAACTTGTTAGAAATGCATTCTCAGGCCCCACCCCAGACCCACTAAATCAGTGAGCATTTTATCAAGATCCTCAGATTCCTATGCACATTAAAGTTTGAGAAGCACAGTAGCAATACGACTAATCAGTTTCCCAAGCCTCTTCTCCAGTCTTTCCCACTCATCAACATTCTATCCAAACTTCCAGATGCTGTTTAAATGCTTTTGCTTCTAGTCTTCCTTGATATTCTAAATTAGAAATTTTTTTTCCAATTCCTGTGCTTTCTCATATACATACTTCATTCTACTTTCAGATTCACCTTGTATAGTTGATGTGTTCATAAAATGTTATATGTAAAATCAATAATATTGTTCCACAGATTTACCTTATACATTCAGAGATGTGTTTATCTGGCAACATCTAAACGCAAAATAATCTTTAAAATCTGGCAAGAAATACTTGAGTATACTTGAGGAACTGCCCTACAGTATCCCAAAGTCTTTTGTAAAGTGAATACAGCTTTTGTAATGTGAATAATATTAATTTTGTAAATTCCAGTCTCTTGTTACATGTATCAGGTTTCTTAGACACACAACTAAAATTGCCCCTTGAAAGATTAGCAAGAATCTTCATAGGCCCTAGTAATATTTTGCTTCTTAAGCCAGGTGATGGGTTCATGGATGCTTATTTTGTTATTTTTTAAACTATACATGCATTTATATTTGCCTTTTTGTAAGTATGCTATATACCACAATAAAGAATGTTAAAGGTTTCCTGAATAAATCTTTTATAATTGAACTTGTGGAGAAAAGGATATACCAAACCACAAATCGCTGATAAAGGTAATTGCTAAACATTCCCAGAGGGGAGCAAAAGATGTCTAAATTGAATATAACCTGTAGGAAATTAACTTCTTTCTAAAGGAACTACTCTAGGGTACAATGTTCCATCTTTGTCTATGTTCTGGAGGCCTCTTAGGAAGATCATACACACACACACACACACACACACACCTCCCCCTCTTCCCCCGAGAATTTTGTAGGCTGAAGAGAACAAAGGCTTGGCTCACTGGGGCTGATGCACATGGTTTCATTTCCTGGGGTGATGGTTATCACATGAAAGGCTTGCACTCCAGAGTAGACATTTTTGGTTTCACCTGAGACATTGCAAAAACAATGGGTCTTGGAAAGGATCCAACGTCTAAAT